AATCATGATCTTGACAACAATATCCTGCTTTTGAAAACTGTTATCATCCCGACACCTCGTATCGTAGAATCTGTGTGCAATACCTGCTCGTCCAAAATTAGCTTTAACGACAAAATTTCAATTTGATTACCTAATCTTATAATCTAAGTGGAACTAAATTCATTCATTCTGTTGTTGAAAACATCTCGCTTCGCAACATCAGCAGGTTGATATTAGTAATAAGCTTGACTGAATGAATTTGCCTGAAAAAACGACATAATTTAAAGTGCTGAAATCTCTCAACAGCACTTCACAATCGAGCACTACTCTGGCCAAAAAGGCTAACATGAACTCATTAATTAAGTATTCTACTAAGTCATAAAATCGAAAATAAAATTACAATCATCTCTCTATAACTAAACATCAAGTAGTGTTCAACACAATGCAACATCCAAGGAAACACGGCATTCTACGGGAAAATAAGTAAATTAACATCTACTACGTTCGTCGATCTTTACGCCTGGGAACTGAAACAACGACAGCTAAACTGTTTGTAAGTGTCTCCTTCGTTCTTACTACAATTGAATCAATTGGAAGTCGTCAGTTCTACTGGACGCCACATGTGGTGGTTTGGTATTGTCTAAATATTTTGCTTCAGGAGAAGCCGAAACGTGCTCTACCTTTCCGGGCTCTTAGTACGCTGGGCCTGCCACCTTTGGGAGCCGGGCTCCGAGAGACCTGCTTTGCGTCTTCCATCACCTGAAATGCAATAAGATCATGCTGACATTAGGTATTTTAAGAGTCAGTACCGTCAGTAGACGACATGGCCCTTTTGGATTACACGTGGAACCCGACATCCAGAAGTCCTGATTCGAGTCTGCCTATTGTCAGCAACACTCCTTGTCACTTCATGAAACGGAAATCGCAACTGGGCGACGACCGACGGGTGTGGCCACTTCACTTGAGAGCAAGAGGTACGGTCAGTCTAATCGGTTCACTTTCTGTACACGTTTCTACAGCGAAAGGGAGCTCATAAAATGGCAAGAGCGAAACCTGCAATAATTACAGGAAAAAAAAACTAACTCTCACATGACTCTTTGTCAGATCTCCTGTTCTAAGTCATTGGTATTCTTCCTATCAAACAATAGAAAATGACAATCGAAATAAATCACATTTACTTACTTTAAGACGGTCCTGGTAAAAGCAGAGGACTTGGAAGGTATGCGCAATGGTCAGATTCTCTGGAAATGCAGCGCTGGTGAATTTGGACAACTCCATCTTGGAAGACTCCGACGATTTGAACATATCGATTGGCCAAAGTGAAGGTTCCAACATGCGTTCCACTAGACTGTCTCCAGGTTCAGGTCTCATCTCCTCTGAGGAAAGGTAGCGGAAAATGAAGCGTCGAAGAGCTGTTGTGATGGCATTCAGTGAAGAACGATCTGACTCGGCCTTACCAGAGACTATGAATGCTTTGGCCATCTCCTCTGCAATCTCTTTCGGTACAACACCACGATACACGTCGTGAACGCGTTTGGCAGCCGATTCAGCCAACATGTCTTCAAGAAACTCGTATAAGGCAACCACGTGTTTAAGTTGGATTGCACTATGGGGCTGAGGAAGAGACGCCTTTGGAAAGGGTCTTGATCCACAAAGCCACTTGTCTGTAAAATCTGTTAAGGGTTCCTCGGGTTTTCCAACCTGATGTCTTTTTATCAGGCAAAGAACGATTTCCATGTGCTCCAACAAATCTTGCACGCTCTCCAGGCTATGTTCGCTTTGACGAATCAAACCACTCCGAAAAACATCTGTAAGTGGTTGCTGAGGAATCAGCTCTTGTAGCTCATCCAGAATCCCTCTACAAGAATGGAAGAGCTCCCGGGAGAAGATGAACTCCTGCAAGCCGTCCAACGTAGAGAGGAACGCTTTTCCTACTAAGAAACGGACGGACAGCTCTTTTTCTATTTTGTCGAGATCAAAAAGTACTTCTTTGCCATGGCCATATTCAGTGTTGCGCTGGGAATGCCTCAAGATAGCATCCGACCACTGGTACTGAATAATTTCTTTCTCTCGTGCTTCTTGTAAGTGGACCATCGGAATGGCACATTTTCCCTTATCTCTCTCTAAGAAGATCAATGCAGAACATTTCCCGGTCGCTGCAATACTAAGCACCTTCCGCAAGAAGTCATTCTGGATTTTCTGAAGAATGTCTAAAGCAGCACAGAGAAACACTCCTTGATCTCGTTTCTCCACAAGACAAAGTGAAATCGGCGAACTCTCGCTAAGATGTGGTACCTGCTGCTGAAGGCGTTCTTTCAAAACAGGATGCATATTCTCAAAGGCGTTACTGAAGCTGTCGAAGGCCTCGGTCAATCGCGTCTTCTCCTCTGGGGAGTTTGCTTTGCCTCGAATGACATCACCGATCTTTGTACTCGTGTCTTTACGGCTAAGACGTCTGCTCAACAGCGAATCCACAATACGACTCCAGGAGACAAGGTGGTTCAGATTTGACACAAGAAGTAGATTGTCGTTAAAATCAAGAAACAAGCCAAGCAGGGGATGGGTTTCTCTCGCTTTGTCTCCAGCCGCCATGTAGTATGCTCGTAAGCTGTTAAACGTGTTCGGAAGCGTCGTTCGCAACAATCGAGGAATGTACATGTTTCTCTGATTTGCGTCTGAAAATTGGGGGTTGTCGGTCTCTTCTATCTTTCTCTGGACGGCCAGAGAAGATTTGCTTGCAAAGTCCTCAGAACGTTCCAGCAGTCGTCTTGGATGAAATTCTTGAATTAAAGGACTAAGAGCTGCAGCAAACTTCTTTTCCAAAGATAATCTTGCGTCTGGTGTATGACACAAATCTGCTGAAGTGAGGATGGAGGCACTTTGTTCCAAAGCACAGTGCAGGAAACGGATGATTTCCTCTTCTTTGGCATCTAGGAGACTACACAGCGCCGTCAAGTCGTTAGTAATCTGTCGGAAACAGTCTTCGGATGGAATGTTGTTCTTAAGATCGAGACCCATAAACTGAGAAAGAGAGTTGTCGTCGAACAGTTCCAGTGCAAAGCCCCCGTAAAGTGCTGCGTGAACAAACAAGTGCAGAATACGGAATTCTGCAGGCTTTAGTTGCCGTACATGAATGGATGTGTCTACCGAGTTTGGAATAGAGACGTAACCTTTTGATGGCAAGATGGCGTTTCCGACTGTCGCTAGTTGGGAAAACGTTTCCTTAACTTTGCACTCTGACCTACAACTTGGACAGGCTGCTTCCAGGTTGTCACCAACCATCACAAAGAACGTTCCACAGGAACAAAAGAAAGAAGTGGTTTTGGTAAATTGTTCGGCGTTGGCGTAGTGGTGTTGCTTGCATGGTTGTTGAGGACGTTCCCCTGATGCCAAGACATACGAATCCGTTGACGCCAATGGGTTGGTGAAGTACGACATCAAAGCAAGCGTGGCCTTCTTTGTGCTTTTGAAACTTGAAGAAAGGATAATGCAGAGATGGAGAATCAATGTTGCTTTGTGTACATCTGCTGGTAATGACTCGGGTGAAACGCAAAGTCCTAGCGCTTTAAAATCTTTCCGTCCTGTGATTCGAAGAAGAAGCTCAATATAAGGCTCTTCCATGTTCTGCAGTTTCTCTGTAAAAGAAACTATTGCCTTGTCCTCACTATCCTTCAAGTTCCGTCTAGAACGAACGAGATAAAACGACTTGGTCAAGACGGCTGCCATGTCAATTCTTTGTTCCAATGACGTTGCCATAGAATGGATGACGTCTTCAAGAGGCTTCAGATTCTTTTTCTCCAGAAGAGTTGCTAACGCTGCTTGAGCTTGGGAATTCTCTGTGCGAGACTGAAAAGGATCGAAACTAAGTTTACCGACCAGGTCTGGTTCTTGCCATTCTATGCTCTTTAAAGACGGGAGTTTACAGCTCCTTTGGCAAACATCACGGATTTCGTACATCGAGAGCTCTTTCTTCAGTTCCTTCAGGAAATATATTTGCAACTCCGACGCCCTGAATTGAAATGGCTCGATTTTACTTGAGGAAAATACGGCGTCTATCTCATTCATAAGCATGGAAAATTCTCCTTCTTCAACTAGGCACTGGCGCTTTTGCAGAATGAAGGTGGAAAATGATGCTAGAAAGGACTTCAGATATGCTGCTGCACAAAGAAGGTGAAACAGTCCATTTTCGACATCTTCGCAAGGCTCTGTCAAAGTTTGAAAAGCTCTGCGAAAGTTCAGTAGATATGGATCCTCGGAGCTCGATACAGTTGACAGGTCTATGTTCAAGAATGCAACTTCATTTATAAGGTCACAGCACACCACAGCAAATGGGGAGTCGAGCTCAACATCATCAGCAAGGCTTGACAAGGCATAACTTGTTTCCTGAAGACCGGGGTGTTCCTGGAGGGCGTCCAAGTTCCGTAAAAGCTTTTCAAAGACACCTGGAGAAAACTGTTCTTCGTCGAGAAAGATGCGGTGAACCAACGGTCCAGCCAGGCACATAAGCGTTTGCTTTCCACTGCAACATATTCTGGATAGTATCGAACCAAGGACTGGCGTGTCTGGATTCGCATCAATACACCTTCCATAGAAGAGCATAAGGAAGTCCTCCAGTCTGCCCTGTTGAACGCCTCGTTTCTCCAACTCGTCAGCAACACTGGTAATACTATCAAAAACGTCTTGGCAGTCAAGGTACCCCGCAGAAGCTCCCGCCTTTCCACGTTCACCCAGCATATAAATGGAATATTGCTCAAGAGATTCGGGTATAACCAGCAGGGTGACAAAATCGTAACAGACACGAAGGAAGTGAAACGCAGGGCTTTGGACGCCCATTCTACTGACTGTAGACAGAAAGAGACTCGCTGTGCGCTGCCAACCATCGGGTCCATTCAAGCCATTTATCACATCATTCGTTGGAAATAATGCAGAACACAGTGTCTCTACAAGTACTTCATCAAAGCTGACAAGTTTTTCTCCGCACGGTTCATCTGTCAGCTCCTCTTCTTCTACTCCCGCTTCTTCCACGTCTTCTTTTAGGTCCATTTCTTCCTCAGGGTCGTTTTCGAGTTCTTCATTTCCATCCTGTCCCTCTAAGCTATTTTCTTCACTTTGGTCATGGTCCTTGTCAACATTCCCATCTTTTTCGAATTGATCTTCTCCATGGACACGGTTTTGATCTTTGCATTCATTTTCTGGCAGAATTTTTTTTGCANTTCACTTTGGTCATGGTCCTTGTCAACATTCCCATCTTTTTCGAATTGATCTTCTCCATGGACACGGTTTGGATCTTTGCATTCATTTTCTGGCGGAGTTTCATTTGCAGCTTCTTTTTGTTCTGACTGTACAGCACCATCTATGTCCTCCTCATTCACATTTCCATGGCTGTTAATTTCTCTATCACGTTGTCCTTTTAAAGAGTCATCGATGGGCGAAGAAACTCTTTCCAGTGTCAGTGTTTCATCTTCTTGCTGTTCCGGTTGCCCGGTATTTTCAGCCTGTGCTAACTCTCTTTGCTCGTTTGTTGACACAACTGTGTTTACTTCTCCAACTAATTTTGCTTCGTTTACTATTTCCTCGGTGGCCTCATCGCCCTTTAACTCTACTTCTTTCTTTTCGTCTTCCTTGTCCATCATCCTTCCTTGCTCACATTGTTGAGGCCGCACATCATTTTCTGTGTTGGTTAGTTGTGCAGAGTCCTCTACAATACCTTCATTCGCGTAAGCTTCTTGGCAATCGTTCTTACCCCTCGAATTCACTTCTGCATCCTCTGGTTTGTCACAAATACCTCTCCATTCAGCTTCTTGGGTGTCTTCAGTTTCTTTGGGTGTCTTGTCCTGAAATAACATTTTTTCGAACACAGGCTGAAACGCAGAAGACAGGATACTAAAGTCCACATGTTGCACCTTGTGACACGTTTGATACACCTGAAGGGCAGCCATATACGAAGATTCGTTCAACCAGAAAAGAGAATGCAAACAAGTTATGAGCCGAACAGGATCACCATCGATTCGGAACTTTATGTCATGTGCCATTGCCGACTTCATGAAATCAATTCTCTCAGCACGCGAGAAGTCGTCAGAAAAGTGAGCTGTTTTCATGTCAAGAAGATCGTCAACATAGCATCCAATGTTGCTCTGAAGGTATTNTTGCCGACTTCATGAAATCAATTCTCTCAGCACGCGAGAAGTCGTCAGAAAAGTGAGCTGTTTTCATGTCGAGAAGATCTTCAACATAGCATGCAATGTTCCTCTGAAGGTATTCCATTTCAACCACCTGAGGAATTTTCTCTTTTACAATGCTCGCGAATCTGTATAACTGTGCTTCTACGGCAACATCATGCAAGTCTTCATTTTCATCCAGGTTCGCCTCGTTCAAAAGGAGTTGTCTTTGGTCTTCAGCGAACATAGGCTGTACTTGTTCCACCTTCTTGTAAAATACAGAAGCACAAGGGAATTTCAGCTGCAAGCGTCGCTCTGGAACAAAATACGATTCTGCTCCTTGGTGCTCTGGGATGTCATCGATGTTGAAAATCTCTTGATCTAGGACTAACTCTGACCAGATATGCATTTCCTCCTTATCGGAAGGATCCTGAGTGAACAAGAACTGTGGCCATGCAGACTCGTTCTCCAAGAAGTAAACAATCTTTGCCAATGGTTGACGTATGAGATGACTGACATGATGCTGAATGGCTCCCACTAGATGTGAGGAATTGATTAAGGCTTGTCGGTCACAGGCCACCGAGAATTGCCAGCTTCGAGCATCAAATTGATGAGCGCTTTGGTGTTCCCTCTTTTTCAACCACCGTTTGACTATCTCCTTGAAACATTCGATGATCGTGGAGTTGGAAGACGACCTCAATAGCTGCTCTAGTTGGACAATGGCATCTAATGTAGGTTGGTGAATAGCTGGATATTTGATTCGAGTAAAGCACCAAAGGAACTGATTCGAAGCCACATCCTCAAATGAGAGCGCCTTGGTCTCCAGGAGGTCCATGATACTAACATTCAAACAGTCAGTAATGGGCAAAAGAGGGTTTTCCAAAACATCGATTGTTGCTTGCTTCCAACCACTCTGGAAACTGAATTGCCAGCGCTGACTTTGAGCTTCGTTAACCTCACTTTCTCTCTGAACATGGACTACAATGCAAACATGCTTCATCTGCTTTTGGTTTTGTTCCATCGCATCTTTGATGTACTTCTGTCTCTGCTGCTCGATAATGGACTTTGCAAGAAGCATATGGGTGGCATCAAGCTCTGGCTTACACTGCAGTACCAAGAGTGAGTCACTGGAACTCCAGAAACGTTCCAATTGCTTGGTCAAGTGCTTTTCAGACTTGAAAGCACTGAGCTTTTCGGTCTGGCACTGAAGGAGCCCCTCAAGACATTGCAATACATTTACATGGATGTTACTGTGGGTCATTATCAGCAGTCGCATACCATTAGTTGCATCCTCATTTTGCTCTGGCTGAAACTGCAGATTTTCCAGGGAGTGTTTAAGGTACACCTTCAAACCTTTGTGTAGGGGCTTCTGAAAGTAGCTGTGGTAAAGTGTCTGGACTTCCTCAAAGTTCGTCATGGCCAAAGAAGATTCTAAGCTCCTCACAACACCATCAGGGGACGCTGTTAACATGAGATCGTGCTTGCATTTTTCCAAAATGTCGTCTCCGGTAAGGTATGCATCTTGACTGTTCTTGAGGACTAATGAGGGAAGGGTGTCATCACAGAATCCAACAAACATATCTTCTTTGTGAAAGTGGGACTCAAAATCAGGAATTGTTGATATGCCTGTCACCCAAGTATTCAGACTGCTGATGATGTTTCTCTGCTCTAAGTTAAGGACATCTGAAAAACGGAGCAGTTGCTTCTCGAATCGGTTGAGGAAGGGCGGATCTGTATGGTCAACTCTGCCTTGATCAATCAACACAACACATCGAAATCCATCATGGACCTGACACATAGGATTGCTGAACGCTCCAAGTGCGACCCGACAGTTCCTCTTTCCTCCAACAACCGTGTAGTTTTGATTTAGCATATCGTAAAGACTGCCATAGATGCTTTCAAGATCTCGAAGAATGAGGACACAGTCTCTCTCCATGCACAGGATGATGCGGCTCAGCATTCGGTAATTGTACTCTTCAGAGAGATCTTCTTCAAACCGACTTCCAAAGATGGTGATTTTCTCTTTGTCCAGACCTTGCAGCATTTGATCAAGGATACCAATAGCGGAATCGCCATTGGTGATTATCATGAGATGCCGCGCTAGCTTATCCTGTAGATTGTCACAGATGAGCTCTGTGACTGGAAAACGGTACGTCTTCTCCATCAAATCCAGCGAGTGGAGTCCTTCTTGAAACAAAGTTTGAAAATTGTTTACATCGTCGGGTACGCCACCAAAATTTCTCTGCAGCGCACGTTGGATTCCTTTGGTTTTCTCTTCAGAAAACAAATTGTGCGAAGTGTTCTGGTTCGTGTCTGTGCTAAGGCATTTAATTAGGCTGTAATAGTCACGCAGTCCATGAAAATTTGCATACCTCTGATGCTGTTGGTACTTTTGATATGCTGTGGCAAGACAACGGAGCTGCTTGTCATCTGGGTAGGCAACTTGATGAAACTGGCGCCCTGAGCGTGTACAGGATACTCCAGGACCAGCCTCTCGCAAGGATTTCCCAGTTTCAAACAAATCATCCACATCTGGTTCAGGCCGGGACAGATGGATTGCACGGTTCATTTTTGCAGCATCCAAAGCCCAATTTGAAATGCCCACGACAGCAACATCAGGAAATGCACCATCACCTGGCTCCAGCAGACTGTGCAATACTTTGAGAGGGTTGTACTTTGACACCTCAGCGAGGCCAATCTCGTCAAGAAGAACAACTGGAAGAACATCACCACTTTTGTTATGCTCCTTGTACTTCCTTGCTTTCTTAAACACTTTGAGAATTCCATCAGACGTCGATGACTCCGATCCCTGGTGAGAAACAACATAGAGCTGTGGCAGTGTCTTAAGAAAACTATCCTTGGCATCCTTTCCCCTCAAATTGCTGCGGATGATTTGCATGGACAAAGACTTGCTGCAACCAGGCTTACCAACAACAAAAACAGGAATTTGGTTGAGGATACAAACTAGCATGACGAACACATTCTCGCGAAGTGCAGCATTTTTGGCAGTACCATCTGGCAATTCCATTCGTTCCAGGTAATCTTCCTGTTCTGCTCTCACAATGGCCTCAAAACTTGACTCTTGAAATGATTGATTTTTGTGTTTTCTGAAGCATCCAAAAATAAGTTTGCGATATCCTTGCCTGGCCTCTACGGTGGGAAGACGTGACTGGTAACAGTGCGCCAAAGCAAGTACAAATGATCTGTTTGAGTGAGTAAAGCCACAAGCAACTTTGTGGTAACTGCGATCTTTCAGCTTCGACAATGGAAAACCAGTTCGTCGTTTCAGGGTTTCTTTGAACCATTTCACAAGGACGATACATCGGTGAGCATCTCGCAAACTGACACAATATGGGCTTTGGTCAATTTTTCGGACATACTCCTGAGAAGTACAAAGAAGATCAACCAGTAAGTCGTTAGAATTTCCAGTGATTCCCTCGACCATGCGGCCAATGTATGCACGTTCATCTCCGCTACTAAGCGAGCCATAATCCCAAACAAAGTCGATCATTGTTTCCGGCAATGGATGAACGCGGTACACCAGCTTTGAGTATTCATCTGTAATCGTCTTTCCACTAAGACCGGCTGTTGAAATTTTTCCAGCAGGACGAAGACGGTATGGATTGCAGGCAGCGACAAACACCAAGTTCGGTACCAAAGGTTTCCCTTTGATGCTACGGTGGCAAATCATCTCATTGACCGTTCCGAGGTATTCGCAAGTGTTAATTTCATCAAGGAACACCCACACGTCCTTGCCACTCTTTGCTTCTACCTCCATTTTGCTAACAAATGTGACTAGCTCTTCTTCCGTTATCCCTGCATGGAAGTTGAACACGTGAAATGGGACGTCACACGTCTTGGCAAGGTATCTAACAAGGCTCGTCTTACCACAGCCAGTTTCGCCCATAACAATGACGGGAATGCCTGCGTTTATGCGTTGAATGATTAGCACCATTTTGAGAATGTTGTCTGGCGTAAGAGCATAATCTAAGGCCTGCAAGCTGCTATCATTTCCTCTTGGAGTTGTTCGAACAATTCGATCAAGTCTCTCCTGAAGCTGTTTGTGATTCATCTTTGTGAAGTCCTCCATACCTTTACTTTTCATGGCTTGAGTCTTGAATAACTCTTGAACATTTGAAGGCACCAGTGACAAATCACGATACAGAGCGGAAATGGTTAGTGCTTCTAGACTGTGAAAGACAATGACAAGATGGTTGTTGTCAGCCCATTGAATCATTCCTTCTACCCGTTCAACCATTTTGCCTGCAGCGTTCTTTGAAGTCAACTGAATCTCTTTCAGTACTTGTGTTGCTTGTTCTCTAGAGATTGCTTCTGACTGGACATTCTTGCACGTTACGACAGAGCGAGATGCAAACTCTCTTGACACCTCTAAAAGGGCTTTGAACAAGCAGTTTCGAACATCATGTGACGGGCCAAGCACGACCTTCAAATTATGTGGTTTAAAGTAAGGACTTGCTGAAAATTGCAAAAGTTGATCAGCAAACACTTTGATGAAACTCTCTACTATGTTATATGACAGGTCACCACTCGATGCGAAATGCTTTGATAGCAGTACTTTACAGCGCTCAGGAGATAAGGGCTTCAATTCGCCGAGATTCAGGTCCTTGCTTTCCAACAAACCAGAGTCATAAGCATGGAGATATTGACAAACCACTTGAATAGGNTGCATCTTGACTGTTCTTGAGGACTAATGAGGGAAGGGTGTCATCACAGAATCCAACAAACATATCTTCTTTGTGAAAGTGGGACTCAAAATCAGGAATTGTTGATATGCCTGTCACCCAAGTATTCAGACTGCTGATGATGTTTCTCTGCTCTAAGTTAAGGACATCTGAAAAACGGAGCAGTTGCTTCTCGAATCGGTTGAGGAAGGGCGGATCTGTATGGTCAACTCTGCCTTGATCAATCAACACAACACATCGAAATCCATCATGGACCTGACACATAGGATTGCTGAACGCTCCAAGTGCGACCCGACAGTTCCTCTTTCCTCCAACAACCGTGTAGTTTTGATTTAGCATATCGTAAAGACTGCCATAGATGCTTTCAAGATCTCGAAGAATGAGGACACAGTCTCTCTCCATGCACAGGATGATGCGGCTCAGCATTCGGTAATTGTACTCTTCAGAGAGATCTTCTTCAAACCGACTTCCAAAGATGGTGATTTTCTCTTTGTCCAGACCTTGCAGCATTTGATCAAGGATACCAATAGCGGAATCGCCATTGGTGATTATCATGAGATGCCGCGCTAGCTTATCCTGTAGATTGTCACAGATGAGCTCTGTGACTGGAAAACGGTACGTCTTCTCCATCAAATCCAGCGAGTGGAGTCCTTCTTGAAACAAAGTTTGAAAATTGTTTACATCGTCGGGTACGCCACCAAAATTTCTCTGCAGCGCACGTTGGATTCCTTTGGTTTTCTCTTCAGAAAACAAATTGTGCGAAGTGTTCTGGTTCGTGTCTGTGCTAAGGCATTTAATTAGGCTGTAATAGTCACGCAGTCCATGAAAATTTGCATACCTCTGATGCTGTTGGTACTTTTGATATGCTGTGGCAAGACAACGGAGCTGCTTGTCATCTGGGTAGGCAACTTGATGAAACTGGCGCCCTGAGCGTGTACAGGATACTCCAGGACCAGCCTCTCGCAAGGATTTCCCAGTTTCAAACAAATCATCCACATCTGGTTCAGGCCGGGACAGATGGATTGCACGGTTCATTTTTGCAGCATCCAAAGCCCAATTTGAAATGCCCACGACAGCAACATCAGGAAATGCACCATCACCTGGCTCCAGCAGACTGTGCAATACTTTGAGAGGGTTGTACTTTGACACCTCAGCGAGGCCAATCTCGTCAAGAAGAACAACTGGAAGAACATCACCACTTTTGTTATGCTCCTTGTACTTCCTTGCTTTCTTAAACACTTTGAGAATTCCATCAGACGTCGATGACTCCGATCCCTGGTGAGAAACAACATAGAGCTGTGGCAGTGTCTTAAGAAAACTATCCTTGGCATCCTTTCCCCTCAAATTGCTGCGGATGATTTGCATGGACAAAGACTTGCTGCAACCAGGCTTACCAACAACAAAAACAGGAATTTGGTTGAGGATACAAACTAGCATGACGAACACATTCTCGCGAAGTGCAGCATTTTTGGCAGTACCATCTGGCAATTCCATTCGTTCCAGGTAATCTTCCTGTTCTGCTCTCACAATGGCCTCAAAACTTGACTCTTGAAATGATTGATTTTTGTGTTTTCTGAAGCATCCAAAAATAAGTTTGCGATATCCTTGCCTGGCCTCTACGGTGGGAAGACGTGACTGGTAACAGTGCGCCAAAGCAAGTACAAATGATCTGTTTGAGTGAGTAAAGCCACAAGCAACTTTGTGGTAACTGCGATCTTTCAGCTTCGACAATGGAAAACCAGTTCGTCGTTTCAGGGTTTCTTTGAACCATTTCACAAGGACGATACATCGGTGAGCATCTCGCAAACTGACACAATATGGGCTTTGGTCAATTTTTCGGACATACTCCTGAGAAGTACAAAGAAGATCAACCAGTAAGTCGTTAGAATTTCCAGTGATTCCCTCGACCATGCGGCCAATGTATGCACGTTCATCTCCGCTACTAAGCGAGCCATAATCCCAAACAAAGTCGATCATTGTTTCCGGCAATGGATGAACGCGGTACACCAGCTTTGAGTATTCATCTGTAATCGTCTTTCCACTAAGACCGGCTGTTGAAATTTTTCCAGCAGGACGAAGACGGTATGGATTGCAGGCAGCGACAAACACCAAGTTCGGTACCAAAGGTTTCCCTTTGATGCTACGGTGGCAAATCATCTCATTGACCGTTCCGAGGTATTCGCAAGTGTTAATTTCATCAAGGAACACCCACACGTCCTTGCCACTCTTTGCTTCTACCTCCATTTTGCTAACAAATGTGACTAGCTCTTCTTCCGTTATCCCTGCATGGAAGTTGAACACGTGAAATGGGACGTCACACGTCTTGGCAAGGTATCTAACAAGGCTCGTCTTACCACAGCCAGTTTCGCCCATAACAATGACGGGAATGCCTGCGTTTATGCGTTGAATGATTAGCACCATTTTGAGAATGTTGTCTGGCGTAAGAGCATAATCTAAGGCCTGCAAGCTGCTATCATTTCCTCTTGGAGTTGTTCGAACAATTCGATCAAGTCTCTCCTGAAGCTGTTTGTGATTCATCTTTGTGAAGTCCTCCATACCTTTACTTTTCATGGCTTGAGTCTTGAATAACTCTTGAACATTTGAAGGCACCAGTGACAAATCACGATACAGAGCGGAAATGGTTAGTGCTTCTAGACTGTGAAAGACAATGACAAGATGGTTGTTGTCAGCCCATTGAATCATTCCTTCTACCCGTTCAACCATTTTGCCTGCAGCGTTCTTTGAAGTCAACTGAATCTCTTTCAGTACTTGTGTTGCTTGTTCTCTAGAGATTGCTTCTGACTGGACATTCTTGCACGTTACGACAGAGCGAGATGCAAACTCTCTTGACACCTCTAAAAGGGCTTTGAACAAGCAGTTTCGAACATCATGTGACGGGCCAAGCACGACCTTCAAATTATGTGGTTTAAAGTAAGGACTTGCTGAAAATTGCAAAAGTTGATCAGCAAACACTTTGATGAAACTCTCTACTATGTTATATGACAGGTCACCACTCGATGCGAAATGCTTTGATAGCAGTACTTTACAGCGCTCAGGAGATAAGGGCTTCAATTCGCCGAGATTCAGGTCCTTGCTTTCCAACAAACCAGAGTCATAAGCATGGAGATATTGACAAACCACTTGAATAGGGCTCAGAGGCTCTTGGCTCACAACAAGGTCTTTATACCCATCCAGTTTGATGTGCATAGGAGAAAAGCACTTCGTAACAGGCAGTGAATCTTGTAACCAGTGTCTCAGTGTGTTCGCAATTTCGATGTAGACATGTTTGGTTGGAAGGTGAAAAAGGTCTGTTCCAGAGGACAACATCCCAACAACAACAAGTTCAAACATCAATGTGTCAAGAACTAAGGGATCATCAACTTCTCCAACATCAAAATGAATGCACTCATTGGGGCCAACCGTCAAAACTGACAACATTTTTACTATATGTTTACGCGATAAAGGCCCACTGATTGGAATGGTCACAGTTTTCTTTTTCCGGGATGCAGCATGTTCGTAAATGGCCTCCGTTTTTCCAACCCCGGGAAGATCTGATGTTACCATGAAAACTTCAGGGAAAACTTTCTTGAATGTGCCACGCAGTTGAACCTCGGTCATGCCAAGAACGTTATGTGCTGCTGTAGAAAATTGATCAACAATATGATGATGAACTCCTCCACAGCAAACTATGCTCAACAGGTACGGACCTTTAGAACTCTCTTGATATGCTCTGATGGCTGCAACAAGCTCAAACTGCATGTCGTTTGACAGGTTCTCCACATTTGCTAAGCAGTGCAACTTGACTGCAGTGGCATGCCTGTGTGCTTCAAATGTGCGTTTAAGAAGTCGCTCCACCTCTTCCCAACTGGTCTCTGAATGACAGAACAGAACTTGGCTAGGCTGCGGATAAGAACCTGTTGTACTCTCGAACAGAGACATGACCACATGAGAAGTCTGTTTACTACCATGCTCAAGGACAGCTACAAACAGTTCGCCTGGTTTAACAGCTCTTTGTAAATCATGTTGTGGGACGTTGTGCAATTTCGTGGTTTGGTGACGTTTAGCGAATATTTTATCTAGAAACTTTCCAATGGCACGGAGATCACTCTCGATTTCTGGGCTCTCTTTAGGTGCTTTGTACTGGCAATGAAAGCCATCTAGATCCTGGAGTTGTATACTTGGATCAACAAAGCGAAGTAGGTTATGGACAACCGTTTTCAATGACTGACGTTTCGTATGAGACAAGGATCTCGAAAAAAACTTCTTTATCATCCAAAGCTGATCTGGATGGAAAAAATTTAGGAAATAGTGTTCCTGTTGCAAACGACTCAATAACGTTTCCCACTGCTTTAGTGTCGAGTCCAAAAACTTTGTCTGAGACTCAATCTCTTCTGAGGAGGAAAGCTTGGCCCAAAATTTCTTAAAGCTTGGATGGCCAGATTCTCGCAGCAAAGTCACCATACTGAGGATGTCTGTAATCATCTCGACTTGTTTTGTAAATGCAGACAAGGTAAGGTTGACAGAAGGGTCTGCCGCTTCACCTTCTTCTGGTGGTCTCATCTTCTCTTGCTTCTTGTCCGTGTTCATAATAAGGAGAGCTCGGCTTCGTAGGTCATGGAGTTCCGCCATGCTGTAGCTCGTCTCTTTTACAGCCCCTTCGTGGCGACGATAGCTGAGTTGAACGTCACATGACCCATCAGAGTTGGTCTTTATAAGGTAGCAGCCTTTCTGCAGGGCGTTGCTGATGATTTCTTTCGTCATTTCTCCTCGGTTTGCAACATTCATGTACAGTCCTCGCAAACTGTGGACATTACAACTGCACTCCTTGATTTTCGCTGCCATTTCTCGTTTCTTTTCAAGCTTGCTGTAGTAGCTCTTGAGGCTTTCCAAGAACATCATGGGATCTTTAGGCGTTTCCCGTAAGACATTTCGTAGGAATCCATGGACATCAATCAAATCAGAGACTATCGCTTCAGAAACAAATTGGTCAGAATGTTCTTCTACAGCATCAATTAATATCCTTATGTCTTCATTTGCAGTTTCTTTCATGAACGAAATCAATTCACTAGACTCTTGAAGTGTTTCCATGATAGTTTTCAAAGTATCGTCAAGCTTGCAGTCGATCATGGCCACACTCTTTCTTTCAACAATATCTGAGAGGCTTCTTAAGGTCAGATCACCTTCAACACTGGACGAAATGACGTCTTGTAGGTCCTTGGTTACCACTGAATCGTCAGCAACTTTAAATCCAAGGGCTGAGAAAATTGACATAAGCTGCCGAACTTTCGCAAAAACAAGAGGGAAGTGCAGGTAGTTAATCAGCATCATTTCTTTTCGCTTTGGAACCAGACGACCACAGAACGAACTGATTACTTTAAGCTCTCTAAGGAGAACCTCTTTATCAGTAATTTCAAAAAAGAGCGTGTCCACTTCCTCAGTGCTTGGATCGGAACTGCTATCAACCAGAAAGATGCATGCTTCTCTGAACTGCTGCAATCCTTTGCTTTCAAGAAGGCGAAGCACCTCATCAGTTTTGGATTCTGGAAGCTCGTCTGCAGAGCCAGCTAACTCCTCCACTTCTGTTTCACTTGATGTAAACGCGTTTCTCAAACACATACGTGCGACGTTGCGGAAAATGATACATTCGCTCAGCTTGGTTGTTATACCTTCACAATCAGTCAAACTGCCCAGTGTTCCCCAGTAGTTCACATCAAGAACATCTGTAAGATTTGCGTTGTTCTTTCCTCTCTTCCTTTTGTTGACTTCGCGGATTAGAGACTCTGCATCCAAGACCACAACAATACCCTTGGACACCTCCTGGAGGAAACGGATTGTGTGCTCCAGTTTAGAGAACTGCTCACCAAATGTCTGTGCAACTGCGCGGGCCGAAGAGAGCTGTGCTATCCATTCATCTACATTGACTTGATCGATTTTTGACTCCTCAGATGAAAGCAAGGCACAATATGTGGCCAACAGACTGACTTGCTCGTCCTTCAGGTTAAGGTAGAAGTCCACACGCAAGTCCTGTCTTTGTTGAGGGTGGATTAACCACTCTAAGGCTTCCATGACCGCCTTGACGCTAGAATGTTCTAAAAGCTTGCTCTTTGGGTGCAGTGCAGTTAACAAGGGTAACCAAACTTCACTGTGGGACGAAATCACTTTGAAAATCTCTTCATAAGCCTTTCCTCCCTCAGCTGGCATCTGGATTAAATCGAGAGCGGACCAGAGAAGTTCTTCCTTTGCCCTAATTGAAAGAATGGGTAAACAATGTGTTAAGGACTTTCTGGGGCGTTAAAGAAATATTTGCTTTTACGACAAAAACAGCGTCAAAATTGTCTGGATCTCGATAAAACGTACAATCATGAAATTACAAGTATACAAAGTCTAATCACAAAGTTTTATTTTGGATGATGACCACTTGAAAGAAGTGAAGTGCACAGGCACATTACTGCAATAAAAGCATTACCAAAAACAGTAATGTTAGATAGCTGAACAAAATTGATAGTCTTAACTAAAATAACATGTCACAACATGACAACTCCATTAAGATGGGCAATGTAAATATATTTCATATCCTAACAAATTATACATCCGATCACGTTAAACTTACCCGTCCAATTTCTCCTTTCGTAATTCCTTCTTTCGTTCCTTTGAGGTATCATAGCCAAGCAAGTGGACCATTTTCCTGTACTTTGATCGACGATCTCCAGTGCCACTTTCTTGTTTTATCGCGCTTCTGAGGAGCATTGTAAGGCGTTGCCGAATTGCTGGGGTACGATTCTGTGAATCTTTCAATGCATCCATGATGGATTCAAACTTTGCCTTCAGTACTATACGTTCTACTTCCTTATCCATATCTTGGCAAAGTGCTTTGTCCATTTTCAGCGCGTCTGTTGAACAGAGTGACTCACAGGCCTCCACAACATCAAGGATCTGTTCGCTTTGTTTCTTTCTAACGCGGAAGTAATTTGCATTCAACCAGTTAAAGCAAATCATCTGTTTGTCTTCTTTAGAGATCTTGGTGTTCCAGTACGTGCAAAACGCTTTTGACTCTAACAGAACTGGCATGATGGAGACCACTTCCTTAGACTTGTGTCTCATGATAGCTAAAACCAAATGATAAAACTGATCTTCTGATTGCAAGCGGGCATCCAGGGCAATGGCTGTCAAACTGTCGAGAGTTGCCTGGGGCCAGTTGGTTTCTGACGACATTTGCTCAGTCAACGCCTCACAGAATGGACGGGCCAGTTTTTCAGTCAAATTCTTTGGTACCTGACGCCAAAAAGATGGTTGAAGAAGATCTGGCTTTCTTGCGCGACGGCGTGAANGATAAAACTGATCTTCTGATTGCAAGCGGGCATCCAGGGCAATGGCTGTCAAACTGTCGAGAGTCGCCTGGTGCCAGTTGGTTTCTGACGAAATTTGCTCAGTCAATGCCTCACAGAATGGACGGGCCAGTTTTTCAGTCAAATTCTTTGGTACCTCACTCCAAAAAGATGGTTGAAGAACATCTGGCTTTCTTGCGCGACGGCGTGAAATGAACTTGCAGTAAACACTTACAAATTCGTCCCCGAGGGTCTGCAACAGGTTAGGATGACGGGATATCTTGTGGTAGAGATTCCAAAGGCACTGGACACTCGGAGAAAGATGTATTACATAACAACAAAATTTTCTAGAGCTGTCCACGTCTCTCAGTCTTGTGAGGCAGTCTAACACAATAGGCACCTGTTTATCAAATTGCTGTTCAGTGTACGACTGTGATGAAAGCTTGTCTGCCACCTGAATTACATAGTTCACATCCAGAAGACTACAGAAGACTTTGATGAACGTCAGACTTCCTGTAGAAGAGCCAGCTTTAAAAAGATCTTCTGCGACAATCTTGATGAATTTAATACTGCTCTGAAGCAATGTCTTGTGGGAGCAACACCCAAAGGATGACAGAAGCTGGTCAGCAGCCCTCTTTCCTAACAGGTTACACGCACTCCAAGCTGACCAGGAACGCACGCGACTGACAAACTGACCAAGAAGAGCACATATGTACACCCTTTGAAAGGGAGTAGTGGAAGTTTAGATTAGTATTTCACTAACCCAATGAATAAAGGACTACACGTCTGTCTCTGCATAGCTTGGGTGACCAAAGCCTACGTGTTCACACTCAATCAGCATCTCCTTCAGATCACAACCTTTACCTAACAAGTGATACAATCGCTTGACAAAAAACAATTGTCCCTGGAAAATAGTTTTCATCCTGTTGTGGGCACTTGGATAATGAAAAATGTCATACTGATGTCTTCCAGGTTTCAGCGTACGAGTAGTTGTCTCTTGCACAGTTTTTTCCTTTCCTCCACTAAAAGTAACCTTTTTGAGGAGCCATTCCCCGATTCCTTCTTTGTGCTTCACCACATAACGATAGCGAAATGTATCGCGTCTATCAGCATGTACAAATAACTCAGGGGATGTCCAGTACTTCCGGTCATCGGAAACACACTCAAGAAACAATGTCAGAGAGCCATTGAGCATTGGCTTGTCTGTAAGAATCTTCACTGACTCAACTTTTTCATCCAAATAAAGATGAAAAACATACCTGAGAAACTAACAAAGGACAATCGCCTTTTTAGAGCCAGAGGTTTCAGTATGTAGGAAAAACGTTTTTCACTGACATTGTAAAGTAGTACACTACATAACCCCTCGAAATTAATGACACCATGAAATGTGTTGATAGGTGTCACGTGGTGTTTAGCCTGCCTATAACTCAAACACAACAATTATCACTTGTTATTGCCGAAATTATGAAAGTATCAAGGCAAGATTTGTAATATCTTTGTTTGGTGATCATCAATAACACATGAATCATCAAAAGATATAACTATATAAATGAGGAAACTCATTTCATAACTTTGAGTGATTGCAACAGTACTATCGTCACAAAAAAAGCTTAATTGCATGCCACGNTTTGTGCTTCACCACATAACGATAGCGAAATGTATCGCGTCTATCAGCATGTACAAATAACTCAGGGGATCTCCAGTACTTCCGGTCATCGGAAACACACTCAAGAAACAATGTCAGAGAGCCATTGAACATTGGCTTGTCCGTAAGAATCTTCACCGACTCAACTTTTTCATCCAAATAAAGATGAAAAACATACCTGAGAAACTAATAAAGAAAAATCGCCTTTTTAGAACCAGAGGTTTCAGTATGTAAGAAAAAAGTTTTTCACTGGTAATGCAAAGTAGTACACTATATAACCCCTTGAAATTAATGACACCACGAAATATGTTGATAGGTGTCAAGTGGTTTTTAGCCTGCCTATAACTCAGACACAACAATTATCACTTGTTATTGCAAGAATTATGAAAGTATCAAGTCAAGATTTGTAATATCTATGTTTGGTAATCATCAATAACACATGAATCATCAAAAGATATAACTATATAAATGAGGAAACTCATTTCATAACTTTGAGTGATTGCAACAGTACT